CTCTGGACGGCGGAACGAAGCCGCGCGAGGAGGGGAGTGTAGGTATGTAGCGGGGGGCTTGGGCTTTTGCCTCATGCTTGCAGGCCTTATCCGGCCACGTCACCCTGCTGACCGACCGGCCGCCCGCACGCGGCGGCGCCGGACGTTGATGCGATGACCGGAGTTCAAAGACCAGGCCCGACCAGTTTTGACCGCGTCGTCCAGCTGGCACGCCCAGGACGGGACACGGCCCACGCGCCACATCACCACCTGCTGGCTGCTGCTGCTTCTGCTGGCGCCTGGCGGCGCTGATGATGGATCCCCACGTTTAAAGCGCGAGGAAGATGAATGAAAGCCGGAGGGTTTCTTATTTATTTGCTTTTATTTTGTTTCCTCGTGAGAAACGTCCTTAGTTCTTACATTAGCTGAAATTATAAATCTAACTAATGAGGTCAGTCTCACAGGGGTTTCATCTCCCAGACTTCTATGTATGTGGGTGAAGAACTGGTTCTCATTCTCACGAAACTCATTTCATTTCTTTCTTTGTACTCCTCTATCTATTCAAATTCTTAATAAATTACCGGTAGGGGCGTGCCCCTCCTGTTCAACGTTAAAAAAAAGCTCATTTTATTTCCACGAGACTCTTTTTCCTTAAATATTTGTCCATATTCGTAACTCAAGTATCATTTATTTTTGAGACGGATGGAGTATATAGAAATTGCAATCACACATACGTGCCATGTGTGCCAAAGTGCCAACCTTGTTATATATATATATATATATATATATATATATATATATATATATATATATATATATATATATATATATATATATATATATATATATATATATATATAACTAGGATCGAGCTGAGTTCTTATTTTTCTAAGAGGATCGATTGGATACACAAGTTATCACTACTGCAGATATCTCATCACTGTTGGGTCTCAAACCCCTGTTACCGTTGGTTTTGCTCGACAGCAGCGAAAGTGGGTGGTATAGATGGAGTTAATCACCGGTGTTTTACGAACCGACGGTGAAAAGCGAATAAAAAATAAAAATAGTTGGTCGTCCACGCCTGCACCGCCTTCGACGTCCTTGCCCATGTTGTCGTCGTAGCCCTAGCCTGCATGTCTGTCGTCCTCGTCCTCACACGTGGTGTCCTCGCCCCCCGCGCATTGGCCGTCCTTGCTACCACTGCCCAGATCCATCTCATATGGAGAGAGGGGCTGAGCCCCCTACCCCCAACTGCCGCCACCACACCGGAGAGGAGGCTGCCCCCGCCCCCGCTACCATGCTAGGAGAAAGGGCGGGCCACCGAGAGGCCGCCATGTTGTCATGCTGCCGGGAGCCGGTCGCGTGGGCGGTGGGTGAGGGAGAGAAAGAGAGGGGTCTCGGAGGGAGAGTGGGTGAGGGAGAGAGAGTGGCGTCCAGGAGGGAGTGCGAGTGAGGGAGAGAGAGAGAGAGAAGAGAGAGGTAGAGGATTAGGATTCGGTGACTGCTTATATACTTGTGACTGGTTTTTACCGGCGGGTTGTATCTTGAACCAACGATTTGAGAATTATTACCACCACCGTTCGATTCATAACAAACCGACAATGAGAATGTATCACTGTCAGTTTAACATAACTGGCAATAAATATAATGTTGACTAAAATGTTTCCGGTAGTAGTTTATTGGTAATTAACCAGGATCGCCCCGAGTTCTTAAATTTCCAAGAGGATCGATCCGATAACACACAACTTAGCTAGCTAGCACATGTACATATACTCCCACTGGTCCAGTAGTCCTTGGTCCAACGAAGGAAGCAGGTTTGAACACGAGCATGCAAGTACGGTGCGGCGCTGGTGGTGGGATCTCTCCGGTTCACCGACGACGCCGTGGCCCCTTTCCTGTCGCCCTTGACTAAGAATTTGTCTCACTTTGTGGGTGCCGATGGAAACCATTGGACCATCCTAGCAGCTACTACCACTACTATAGCTATATACAGCAGGCAAGCAGGCAGGCATATAGTAGCCTAGCCAATAGCCATTTGCCAGCAGCAACAACACATTAACAAACCATATCCGATCCAAGACGAGTTTGGGACGCAAGCTAAACACGGTCCAACGCATGCCCACCGCAATAATAATATCCACTCAAATGCATGCATGTCTCTAGAAGAGACCCATCGACGACATGGTGCCCACTCGATCAACGCCCTTTCTCGACCTGTTTTAGATTTGGGGGTCTCCATCCTGAGTGCTTACGCTACATGTATCATCTTATAATTTATTAGGTCCACTAGCCTGTTCTACAGGGCCTTTGATGAGAGCTCTAAGCCTCTAATAACTTCAAAGATTCCTTGTAGGAAAAAATGAGCTAGGGTGTGGTGTTTTTTTTATTATTAATGTATAACTAGTTCGTCAACCCATGCTCCCGTCACCAGTACACAAAGCAGATGGTGTGAAAGACCGGTGACCACTATTTTTTAAAACTTGAGAGAAGCCCACCAGCCACCAGGGATCAAACTCATAATCTTAGACCTCGTGTGTTTGCTTACTTACCACACTGTTCCTCAAAGTCACTTGTGGCTAAGTGATTGATAAATTCCTTTTCTATTCACTTTGGTTTAGGTCAAACAAAAAGTTTGAACTAGAACTTAGATCTCTTCGAGAACTACGACTTTGGTTTAGGCCATTTCTTCATTCGAGGTCATTTGAAAAATTCATAAAAATATTAATTTCAAAATTATTAATCTTAAAATAGAATTTCTAGACTCTAAATAATTTCCAATGAAAAAGTATTCAATTATAAAGTTGCAGATCTTTTTGAGTACTACAACTTTGATTTACTAACAAAAGAGGTTAAGAAAACTATCAGTGTAAACATATCTATATTGACAATTTTCTTAAGCCTACCACCAGGACAAATCCTCTATTTACACTGGCGGTAGGATTAACACAACCACTAGTTGTAAAATCTAATTACAACTTGTGGTTGTCTTAAGCCCACCGTCAGTGTAAATAAAGGATTTGTATTTACGGTATGCTTAAGAAATCCGTCAGTAGAGATGTATCACCACTAGTAGTGCATAGCTATGGGCCCATAGTTCTTTTTTTACTAGCGCCTATTGTTTATGAACTGCTAGTGAAAAAAAATCCCTAGCACCGACAAAAACTGTGTATGTACTAGTGCCGACTAAAATGTTAGGAGGTATAATCTTATAATGTCGTCCATCAAATTGATGGCTAGATCTTTTCCAACTTTTGTGAGCATTTCTTCGATTTGTTTCTTTTAGTACGTCTCATGAGGTACCGAGGCTATGTTAGGACTTCTAGTTAGAACTTATAGGATTTCTCTCTTTTTTCCTAACATGATGTGCATTTAATTGAAATCTAGTTATGTAAACTCTTGTCGCATTTTTTTACGTCATGAATCTATAGCTTTCAACTTTTGATCTTATTAGTTGTTGTAATTTTTTCCGCATGTGTGAAGTTGAAACTCATGCTTATTGTACTTTTATTCAAAATTTTTATTTTTTTCTTTATTTAAAAAATATTATAGGCCCTATGTTATCTTTTAATTACTACAATCGCATAAGCAATCGTTTGAACCTGCGCTCGCAACACCTCAAGGTGTTGAATTTGTTATTATGAAGAATTTATGTGTGAAGTAGTATCATTTTATAAAAACACATATTGGTTAAAATTAAATTGCCATTATTTATATGAAATTTGGGTAATTTTTATAAAATATAATGGATTGAATGGTTATTATTGGCGGCAATGATCTGAGTCATCTACCAAATTAAATGCTAAATGTGTCATATTATTATGAATTTTTTTAGAATTTATCTTTTTTCGAACATGTCTCATGAGAATAAATATGAAGACAAATGTAGTCTCTAATTAGTAATAATAAGATTCTAGTGAAAATCCCACTAGAAGAGATGTGTAGGAAGAAATCCAGGCATCTAGGGCCAGGAGGAGGTGATGACCTTAGAGCATCTTCAACACTAGCCCTCAAATCAGAGTCCCTACTTTTAATTTGAGGGCTTCCCCTCATCTTTCTCTTTCTGAAACGGTCTTTTCCTTTCCTCTTACAGTACTCCACCTGGTTGCAGATAGGGAAAATTATTAAGAGCTTCTACTTTCTAATGGGATTTATACTCATCTATTGTTTTTTTAATTTCTAACCTTTTGACTAGGGACCTATATATGAAAGTTGCATATACTGACAACATATGTTTGATCATATTGTAGTCCCTGTGGAAAAAGTACTCTTATATAGCATAAAACTCCTTCCAATAAACATATTTCTAGAAATATTTAGTTTGTCATGTTGATGAAGACCATGTCCTTGTCCTGAACTATTTGTATATATTTAAGTACCAAATATATACCGACTCTTCAAATAAACTATTATAAATTGAAATTATTCCACATAACTAGCATAGTTTTTTTCTTTCAAAACTGCAAGAGAGTCTTACTTTAAATTTCAAGAAACACTAGGGAATGGTGCATCGGCTAAATCTCAAGTACATATACACAATGAATTTGTTTACAGTTGAGGAGTTGAGGACGCCGAGGACAAGAAGGAAATGGAATTTTTTTTATTTTGCAAAACTCTGTATGGACGCACGCACGCAAAACTGAAGCTAGTTGAAGTGCTGAACACATACAAAAAAAACTTCTAGACTCGTAGCTAGTGTAGTGAAAACTAGCGGACATATATATATGCAGATGTTTCGGGTTGGTCATCATACTAAGATGGACCAATCTAGCTATGAACTTAGTCTTTGCTGATTTCTTTGGTGCTGTGAGTGTGCTCCTTGTCTTGTATATAGTTTTTTCTCCGACAATATTAGTAATTCGACATGTATGCTGTTATTGTTCTTCACTTGTGCCTTGAATCTTGATGCATGTATGATGTGTCCCTCTCACTCTGTGACTTGCTTGTCGACTACTCCTAGCTGCATGCATACATGCTGGGTATGCTGTATGCATGCATGGTGATGATATGCACAGCAGGTGAGCTCAGCACAGCTGCTGTAAGCAAAGGTCGTCCAGGCTCCAGAGGCCGTCATCGAGATCCCCGAACCCAAAGTTCGGCAGGCTGATCATGGACATGGAGGTGGAGTCGTCGTCAGGGCCGCTGGTGGCGGTGGCGAGAAGCTCGGACCAGGTCATCCCGGCAAACACATCGTCGTCGGTCGTCGTTGGCCCGCAGCCTTGGTCGTCGTTAGTCGGGGTCGCCATGGCTGTGGAGGTGTAAGCGTAAGTTGCAGCATAGTGCGACGCGTCGTCCGTCGTAAGCGATAACGGTCGCAGCGCACTGGAGGCGTCGTCGGGGCTCAGGGCCGTTGCCGCCGCCGTCTGTCCTGCCGGCTCGTTGTAGTATTGGTGGTGATGGTGGTGGTGAGCTTCGCCTGCCGCCTGCAGGCCGTGGTGGGCGCCTTGGTGCTGCACCAGGTGTTGGCTCCCGTAGCCGTAGTAGTTATAACATGCGGGCGGCGCGCTGGCCGTAGTGGTCGCCGGCGCTTGGACGACGGCCACGGGCGATTGGGGAGCCAGCTGGTCGTCGCGATCGGCCTGGGCGCGCTCTCGGAGGCGCGGCATCCAGACGTGTCGCACGATGTGACGGAAGCTGGCGCTGTTGACGTCGCAGCGGAGGTGCCTGGCGTGCTTCTGCACGCGGGTGCGCCAGTAGTTCTTGATCTCGTTGTCGGTGCGGCCCGGGAGGTGCTGCGCGATCTTGGACCAGCGGTTGCCCCAGCGAGAGTGCAGGTCCAGGATGAGGAGCTGCTCCTCGGCGGTGATGTTGCCCCGCCGCACGTCGGGCCGGAGGTAGTTGAGCCACCGGAGGCGGCAGCTCTTGCCCGTGCGCTTCAGGCCTGCAGTGAGCGAAGCAAGATCCGGTGAGCAAAACACATTAATCGCAGGGACCTGACTAGCAAGTTGGCAGGTCAGTGCCTCAGTGGCTCCTGACCAAACTTGCAACAGATAATGGCAAGGGCGCAAGGCATCGGCAGCTATGGCGATGGAAATACGTACCTGCAGAACGGGCGAGCGAGTTCCAGCGGCCCTCGCCGTGGGCGGCGATGTAGTTGACGAGGAGGATGTCCTCGTCCACCGTCCAGGGCCCCCTCCGAAGGTCGGCGCTGGCGGCGGCGGCGGCTTCCTCGTCGTCCTCGCTGCTGCCTGCGACGACGGCTGGTGGTGCGGCGGCGGCAGCGGGCGCGGATGACGTCGCTGAGCTCCCGGGGCTCATGGCATCCGCCAGCACCTGGTCCAGGTCCTCATCGAAGCTCACCATGGCCATGTCCATATCCATGCTAGAGTAGTGGTGGATCGGATCAAATGATGAGTGAGCTCGATCAGCTGCGGGCGGAGAAGAGCAAGAAAGAGATGGACGACGAGGATGGACTGAGAGAGTTGAGGGGTTGATCGAGGAGGATCCGAGACAGACTACGGGGAGACCGGGAGGAGGGCCGGGGAGTTTATATAGCTCGAGCTGCCCGCTGACGACGATGTGAGGACGACGGAGCGCGTGTCGCCGTACGTACTAAACAATTCGACCGGGGTCGTCCGGTCATGGGCAAGGAAAAACAGGTTGCTGGCTTGCTGCTTGCTGTGCAGTGCAGTGCTCCATCAGCTGCTTGCTGGCTGCTGCCTCCGGTCGGCGGTCGCCACTCGACACCACACCACAAAGTTTGGTTGCGTTGCGTCTCCTCCTCCTGGCGTGTCCTATGCTCCTTTTCTTCCTTTGTCTCTCCTGCAGGGTGCTCTTTGTTATGCATACTTATTCCATTACTATTACTATTTTATTATTTAAAATAGATATGATATTTTCATGATTAATCTACTCATATCCGTCGATATCATAGACATTAATATTTTTATATAGATTTAGTCAAATTTGTTGATTTCTCAAAATATAATAATTACATTCTTTTAGAGGCCAGGGTGTACTGGATTTTCAAAGCATATGCGTGACATGACTTAGGACGAATGTCCATGGTGTTTGGCTGGGGGGCTTGCACCGGTATTAAAAAAATGCTACTTTTGATGGGTGAAAATCTATTTCTAGAGACGATTGGTGTTTTCAACGACTCTAAACAAATCAATTTCTAAGAGCGATTACAAATCGTTTCTAGAAATGCCTTGTTTTTAGATACCCCTTAGTAGAAGCGGTTTTAGCAACCACCTCTATAAATCGAATATGTACCATGTAGTAGTCGGATGAGCAAGTCTTTGATGGATATGCACTAATACATAAATATTTTTTCCAATGCCATTTTTACCACCGATTTTATTAAAACTATTGGCGATAGTATTTCACCGTCGGTTCTTGTCCTAAACCGGCGGTGAAAATGATTTTTAGACTAGTTTAGGAGAGCAGGCGACGGTGAAAAACCCTTAGCCCGAGCGAGCCTCCACATGTGCCCACATCATCCTCCGACCACGTACACAGACACAGATCTTTGTCCCGATCGAACCGTCTCTATCTGTCGGGTTCATAAACCCAGGGTCCCTCATAGACCGGCTTCCCAGAAAAGGCTCGGCCCAACAGACGACGTCGTGAACAACGCGCAACTACTGGGCCGGCCCAAAAACCTAACGACAGGCTAGAAGGGCGATCCAGACTCCGACCGGAGGGCCAGGCCAAGGACGAACGACGCTCGCTCGCCTCCGACTCCAGCCCACCTCTCCGACCGAAAGGCCTGGACAGGGAGGAACGATGCCCGCTTCCGGCTCCGACCCGCGTCTCCGACCGAGGACACACCGAACCTCTGCTTACAGCTCTTCTCTGACTGGCGCAGTCGGAGCCGACTGGGACCAACCGACCGGGACCAACCGACCGGGGATGCCCTCTCAGTGAGGACCAGGAAATGAGCGGAGCAAGTAAGACAGGGCGCTCAAGTCAACCGCAATACCGAGGACCATACCCTGCACACCTGCAGGACGGTAACCGACAGAACATGTCAGAAGGGTAGCCTGCAACCTTCTAGGCATGTTAGAACTCAAGCAATGTTGTGGGCGCCGACATTTGCCCTATAGTGTTGTGGGCGCCATCAACTCCCATACCAGACAAGTGCGGTAAGGCTCCCCCACATGCCTCTGGGCATCAACAGTGTTGTGGGCGCTGTCATTTACCATACATTGGTGAATACGGTAAAACCTCCCACATGCGTATGACAACAACAGTGTTATGGGCGCCTACCATCATCTTGTACCCGACGACGTGAGCAACAAGACTTAGTACCATACGTATTCTCTCTCTCTCGCTTGTAAGGCCATCTCCTTCATCTATAAAAGGGGATGCGCTCTCTCCCAACAGGGAGATCCCTCAGTTCACTTACATCGATTCACCCTCTGCTAGCTTTAGACACTCTAAAGCTACACAGAGCGCACACTCAAATACTTAGCGCATGCAGGAGCTCCCGTCACTCTCAGCCCTTCGGTCCAGAGTCCGACCGGGCCTCTTGCACCCCCCATCTTTCTCCCTTCCGTTTGTAACCCCATAGCAAACTTTGAGCACCTGGGCTCAGGAATAAAGTCACCGACCAACTCAAACTGGACGTAGGACACGTTGCCTGAACCAGTATAAACCTTGTGTCATTGAGTGCTAAGCCACATACGATCACAACGTATGACAAAACTACAAATATTTACGTGTTGGTCACTTTCTGCACCGATAGTTGGCGCCGTCCGTGGGGAGGACGCTGTACGTTCACGCTTTTGGTCATCAGATGGTCCACCTTTCCGCCACCTTCGCCATGGCGGGCTCAAGCAATAAGACTCACTTTGGCTCACTAGAGTTCCCCACACTCGCACCTATTGGGATGTGAGGGCCTCCAGTCTTTGAGCCGTCCTAGGCCTTCCTCTTCGGAAGCCTGGACTTCGTCGCCGACCGGCTCGGCGTACTACACCTCCACAAGGAGGCACCCATCCCGGCGCCCGTCGGAGGGGCGCCGTCTGTCGGCTCCGGGACTCCTGACGACTTCAACGACGAGGCGCCTGCGCTTTATTCTGAGCAAACGCTCTGCTCTAACCCCCCTATGAGTAATGTACATGCTGTTATTTACTCGCTATTTACTATCTTTCGCTGATTCTCTGGAGGGACCCCATTATCCCTGCCGCGATTGCCATGCGACTGGTTCCCCTACGGCCTCGCATCCCCCACGGACGCGTATGCCTGGGGGCTCCGAAGGATGCTGGCGCCGCACCCTCTCACATCCGAATTCGTGGGGATGGCGAGCCATGCTCCCACCTGTTTCCATGACCTCATGGATGACGATGTTGAGAGCGACGACTCCAGCATCAGCGACGTGGCACCTAGCCACCTTCTGTCTTGGGAGTGCGCTATGGCGGACGCTCCGAGACAGTCGCCGGTGGTAGCGGAGTCCTTATAGACTCACACCCCTTTGGACCCACGCGTGGATGCCCTCGCATGTGCGTAGGCGCACGGCGAGGAGCTACGACAAAGGCGGCAGAACCAGCCACCACCTGCGCATGCATGCTCGGCGCATCACGATGCGTCCCATGCGCGTAACCCGGCGAGCGGCGCCCGGGGCCGCACCCGCCAGGTCCAGCGCAACATCATGGATGGAGGGAACAATCCCCCATAGTTCGCTCGGGCTAGCCAGAACATCATCGCTGCAGCAATGCTTCTGCGCGGCGTTCCCAAGCTCGTCGACCCCTAGGAGTAGGCGATCCACCGGAACCTCCGGGCATAGGTGGAAACCACCGCCGTTCAACAGGCAGAGAGCTCCGCGTCGCGCCACCGACTCGCGGCCTCTCTCCCCACCAGGGGAGTGGGGATGCACCAGATGAATCACTCTATCCGCTCACCACTACAGCCATCAGACGCAGAACAGGAGGGCGCATCTACGCCATAGCCTGGCCCGGCACTCGCTCCACACCAGCCGCCTATGCGCGAATGCCTCGGACCCAACCAAGACGCTCGTAGTGTCATCAGCGACCAGCGTCGGGCCCGGCATGATGATGACGTGCATCGGGCGGCGGTGAGAGCAGACGACACGGGCTTCGGCCATAACATCGAGGAGACCGGTGAAACACACCCCAGGCGTGGTCACTGACCCAATGACCGGAGTCCCAGACCGGATGGCCTAGGACCACAGGCCTTTGGCCAGCGCATCCAGAGAGCGTCGTTCCCATAGCGCTTCTGACTGCCTACCAACATGGCCAAGTATACTGGGGAGACGAACCCCGGTATATGTCTCGAAGACTTTTGGCTCACCTGCTGAGCTAGAGGAGTGGATGATGACCACTTCATCATTCAGTACCTCCCCATCTACGTAGGGGAACATGTTCGAGCGTGGCTCGAATTCCTCCTGCATGATAGCATCCGCGACTGGGCGGACCTCAAGAGGGTCTTCGTTGGGAACTTCCAGGGGACATATGTCCACCCTAGGAACTCCTGGGACCTCAAGAGCTGCCAGCAGGAGTCCAACAAGTCCCTATGGGATTACATCCGCAGATTCTCAAAGCAGTGCAACTCCCTTCCTGATGTCGTCGACACGGACGTCATCAGTGCCTTCCTCTCTAGGATAACCTGTGAGTCCCTGATCCACAAGCTTGGCTGCCTGAAGCCCCGTACCACCCACGACCTGCTCGATGTCGCCACAAACCACGCCTCCGGTGAGGAGGCGGTCGGAGCGGTCTTCAACGGAGGCTAGGATAAAGGAAAGGCCAAGCGCGAGGACCAAGACGAGGGCCCCTCCACGCAGAGGGGAAAGAAGAACAAAAAGGATCGGCGCCGACCGGCCAACACCGCGTTGGTCGCCGCAGCTGATCGCGTGGGCAAGCAGCCCTAGCAGGGCTTGCCTGACCACCTCAACAAGCTCATGGATAGCCCATGCACAAACCACGCCTACCCCGTCAAACACCTCTACAAGGACTGCGAGCTCCTCAAACATTTCCTGCGACAGGCCGGCGGGTCGAAAGAAGGAAACGGCAAAGAGGCGGCAGCCAAGAAAGGAGATGCGGTGAGCAAGGACAGGGACAGCTTCCCTGACCCCGAGGAATGCATCATGATCTTCAGGGGATCCGACACCATCTACTCCAAGCGCCAACACAAGGTACGCTACAGAGAGGCATGCGCCACTAAGACGGCCGTCCCCTCCTTCCTTAGCTGGTTAGAATCTTTGATCACCTTCGATTAGAGGGACCATCCCATCCACGTCGCTAGACCGGGACGCTACCCGCTCGTCGTCGGCCCCATCGTCCGCAAGAAGCGCCTCACCAAGGTGCTGATAGACGGAGAGAGCGGCCTCAACATCCTCTACGTCGACACCCTCGACGTCATGC